TTAGAATGATAAAATCCTACAGAAACATCTTTTTTACCAGCCATAAATAGAAAAAATCATTTACTGCTGTGTCCGCGTCTCCTCTTTGAAGAAAAACTAAATTTGCTCAGCTGCCCCTAATGAGTTTGCATTCTTAGCTACTTGATAAGGATTCTATGGAAAATTATTCTGCAAAATTATATCTTCTGTACTCTGCTCAGAATTGATACAGTAGCTGCAAAAGGGTTAAAAATTGTACACACTGACCATTATTGCCAGACAACGGACCGGCCTCCCACGATGGATTGAAGAAGATACGGAAGACTCCACGAATTAGTATTTCATATTTCGCCTTTGTGCACGCATCTAGTTCGGCCGCCACTTTGATACGTAACCGTTGCATAGCCTAAAAACATTGTAAAGGTGACGAAATTGAGCAAAATCTGTCAAGTTTTCAAACTCCCTCTTTCTGAGGGTTGCTCGTTTTATCACTGGTGAGTTGAATTTAGTACAAAAGGCGTTGTGTCGTTGGTCAGCTCATTAGCATAATGTAGTATCGTAAACCAAAATCGTTCGAAGCTTGTTCGTTGAATCGTTGTTTTCATCATTGCAAACAAGCCCAACGCTGGTTTTGCAAGTGGTAACTGCTTGAAAACTTTCCTTGTTACAATGTGAATTGCTAGTGTATTCAAAAAAATCTGCTTTCTGAAAACCAGGGACACTGTCTCTGTAGCCCCCTTACCTACCAAAGAGCACGTCGATACCGACGAACTGGAAGACAAACGAAGTTTTAGACGAGAAGCATGGCATTCACCTGGTTTAGGGTAACCTCTTCGAGTTCATTTTTCAAGTATTCTTTGGTAGCGAACCAACCTGTCCAGCTCCAGATTTGTAACGCATAAAATTCTTGTGGGCTTTATGAATATCCTCTACAAAGAGACTATTAAGCCCAGACGAATTATATTCTACACATCCAGTCCTTCCCACTCTTTCTCAAAGCAAATTGGTTGCTTTCTAGATGCAAGAAAAAGCTGTCTGGAAGCACGTATTCGTAGCCGAGTTCCGAACAGAGACAAACTCTATTCATAGCATAGCAAGACTCCCGACAGATGAAAAAATTGTTTGGAAGCAAAGTTCTGATAACAGCTCTCGAAGTGAACTGAAACCAGTGACACCGCCATCATCGCTGGAGCTGTTAATGCTCTGTAGGTGCCCAACCGTAAATCCCACAAAGATTCCATTTCTTATAGTCAATCATAAGAACAATCTTGAGAGACTAAACATCGATTCGTTTAAAATATCTGATTTCTCGCTTTTTTTTACAACCGTACCCATCGACTTTGCACGACTACTCGTTTCACAGGTTTTTCTTGAATTAGGGACCAAAGAGAGTTTTTTGGTCCGACCTACCGACACAATGAAGTGATAGTTATATCTATGCCACACACCTTGCGTACTTTACTCGGCCAGAAAAAGTGGAAGTGTCACGTCGCAATTCCAGGCAAAAAAGGTATACAGAAGCGAAATTCTGATAAGACCACGTAGAACTCTTGCAGGCGATCAGAAACCGTCAAAAGGTACGGTATCCATGACACAACGTCGTCACCACTGGCAACCAAGGATTCTTCATATGTCTTATCCTGACAATTATCAATCCGACAAGAATTCTGCACGCCTTACATCCATCCCCGACGGTAGGTATCTATTTTGTGCAGTGTTTTGCATTTTCAACCAACTTTTTAAAAGGTTTCTGACCTCAAAAGAAGCGAATCAGCCATTTTACACGAGTACTCGCCCGGTGGCAATATTTCTATGGGGCAAAGAATCACGAGATATTTCAGGTTCTCTGGCCCAACGTACAGAGGACTGAAGTGGGGGGATAGTTAGTGGGTAAGTATTAAATACTGCAACACAATTTTGGCGTCATATAATAGTTTTACATGCGTAAATATAGTGTTATGGCTTCAATTTTAGGTGAAAATGTAGTTTGGGGGGGGGGGGGGGGGGGGGGG